AAAAAGCAAAATGGACAAAAATAATATCTTTAAATAAGATCTTGACGCGTCCTGAAAGAGCAACCGCAGTCAGAGAGATCGGGTCGATTAAACTCACCTCAGAATAAAAAAGTAAAGCTGAACAGGAGACCTAAACATCCATCACAGGCCAACTTCCTGTTTGAACTTTGACCCTCTGTGTTTACTGTAGTCTCTTCATGTGTAATGAGGGATCACTGCAAACGTCTCAGGGGCACACTTTCTTTTTTAATTTCTTTTTTAGGATGGATTTTGGGGCCTTTTTTTGACAGCTGAAGGGAGACAGGAAACATTGATAGGAGAGAGGGGGGGGGGGGTGACATGCAGCAAAGGGCTGAGGGTCGGATTAGAACCCACAGCTGCTGAGACGATGACCTCAATCTCTGTACGTTTGGCTTGCGACATAACCGCTAGGCTACCGACGCTCCTTTTCTCACTTTATTAAAGTAGAAGAAATTCAACAGTTTATGGCATTTCAGACATCAGTGGTCTCAAACTCACAGAGAATCACTCCCATGATTCCCCGCCAGCCTCGACGTCCTCTTTTGTTATAGTTTTGATTGAGAGCCCCCTGGTGGTGGGTTTATAAACTGAGCGTTTGAAAGATTTACAATAAAGAAAACCTCTCATGAAAACCAGCTTCATGAAGATGGTTTGAAACAGATTTACTCTTCTTCACCTTTAACATCTTCTTCTTCTTCTTCTTCTCTGTCCAGGTGACGTTCACTAAGCGTAAGTTCGGCCTGATGAAGAAGGCGTACGAGCTGAGCGTGCTGTGCGACTGCGAGATCGCCCTCATCATCTTCAACAGCACCAACAAGCTGTTCCAGTACGCCAGCACCGACATGGACAAAGTCCTGCTCAAGTACACCGAGTACAACGAGCCGCACGAGAGCCGGACCAACTCGGACATCGTGGACGTGAGTGAACGGACGCCACACACACACACACACACACACACACACACACACACACACACACACACACACACACACACACACACACACACACAGAACTCATGATGGCGTTACCGCTTAAAGTCCAGCAGATAACGTGGTCGCTCCGTCTCCGCTGCATCTCCGCTCCGTCAGTCCTCTGCAGCAGATACTCAAAGATTCTGTTTCTGCAGGAGGCCGGAGCATGTTGCTCATTTACATATTTAAAGGCACAGACACAGAAACAGCCTGTTCTGAGCAGGGCTGAAATAGAGGGGTTTATAGACATGATCAAATACAGGATCAGAGTGGATTTAGAACAAGAAACTTCACACACATGTTTTGAGGAGCTCTGAGACTTATTTACACTGAAGAAGAGGAGGAGGATATGTCACCTTTAAAGTGTAAGGTGTAATTGTACCCAAAAAATAAAAAATAAACTCTGCATTAGAAATATTCTCCCTGTGCTTATCGGGAGGTTATTTCTTGAATTGTTTAGATTGATTCACATTCCTACAATCTGTGCAGACTAACAACAAAGATTCTAAAAGTCAATAAACCAAAATCAGAGTTTTAAGGCCGTTATATCGTCAAGTAAAAGTCAGGATTCAATTTAGCACAGAGCAGGTCGAGCAGGACAGGAAGTCACACACAGAAACAACATTATTACAACATCCGGTTTATTTTCAAAATAAAAGACTCTGTTTTGACCGCTCAGAACGATGACCTTCTGAGTGTTTGTTGATGTGTTGTTCTTAAGGATTTTAGACGACATACAGCAGATTAACACGCGCAATTCTGTAATTACCGCGGGACCTCCTGGGTCTCCGGACTCCAGCTGCTAACGGAGCAGAGCAGACACACAGTGACCACGTATCTGTTGGGCGTTCGGGGTCAGAGCTGTGAACTTTAATCCATGAATTGATCTGTCAGTGATGGGACGATTAGGGTTTGAAGCATCTGTGGTTCCAGCTTCTTAATTGTGAATCCGTGATGGTCGATAAAAGGTCGTCAGGTTTTAGGTTTTGTGCAGCCGCCCTCACTCTGACTTCTCTCCGTTCACAGGTTGTTTATTGTAAACCTGGACGTCGAGTTTAGGGGTGCAAACTGTAGTTTATTGTTTTTTTAAAGTTGATCTTTTAGGTCCTGGAATCAAACTTGGAGAGCTTCCCTGAACCTCGGTCTGCCTCCTCATGTGTAACAGAGTGAGGAGAACACAATAGCAAAGTGTGTGTACCTGATGGACACATGCTAACACACACACACACACACACACACACACACACACACACACACACACACACACACACACACACACCCACACAGGGTAGCTTAGCACGACATGTCAACAAGGTCAAACTGGATCTGTCAGGAGTCAAAGATCCGGCAGTCTGCTGCTGCTGCCTCGACACTCTCTTCTTCCTCGTGTCATCCTGAGTGAGAGCGTCTTTCAGAAACACTCCGACATGAATGAGACTGTGTGTGTGTGTGTGTGTGTGTGTGTGTGTGTGTGTGTGTGTGTGTTTGTGTGTACATCCTGTGTGTGT